CGAGACGGGGTTGGGGGCACCCGTGGTCCCGACCCCCCCTGCCCGCTTTTCTCCGCAGATGCTGAGGCTGCACCTGCCCGACCCGCCGACGGACAGCGAGGAGGAGGAGGAGGACGTAGCGGAAGGCGCCGCGGCTCAGAGCAGCCGCAGCTCCATCCCCATGGATGCAGGTAACGGCGTGTTCGGCAGGGCCCTTTCGGGGCTCCGCCGCGGTCTCACGCCCTCTCTGTTCCCAGAGCATGTCGAGCTGGTGAAGAGGACAATGGCCAGCGTGAAGCTGCCTACCCTGGGCATCCCTGCCTGGGCCAGCCAGATCTCGGAGGAGCAGTGGAAGGACGTGGTGCAGCGCACACTGCAGGCCCGGCAGAGCCTCGGTGGTCCCCGGCCCGAGTGGAAGTGAGAGCTGAGCTGCAGCACAGGAGCTGCAAACCCCAGCCCTCCCTCCACCCTGCAGGCACCCGCTGCCTCCAAGCCAGGTGCTGACAGGACTTGCCAGTATCGACCTTCCAGTTTCTCCCACTGACATTGTCTGATTTACCTTCCCACTCCTCTTTCCTGGTTCTGGCTGGTGCATAAGTCAATGTGATGTCCTTGTGTTGGCTTCCTCTGCCTCTGAGGAGCCCGACTGGTTTCCATACCTGTGTGCATGTGGGGCGAGGGGACTTAGCTGGCTTTGCCCAGATTCCCTCAGGACAAACACTGGACTTGTCCCTGTGCTGACAGTACCTGAGAAGTCCCTCTCCAGACTTGGGCCCCTTCTCCCAGGACAGGGCCTGTGTTGGAATATCAGAGGCAGAGCCAGATGTGTCATTCCAAGAGATTGGTTTTATTTAGTTCTGTACATACAGGGACATCTGTACAAAATCCAACACTTTCATACTATGTAATGCTCTACTGAAAATAAAGTACACCATATGTACATATGAACTGTAAGCAGCTTAATACTTGTGTCCAGGGGGTGAATGCAGTAGTTTTGCTTGTTCCCTTGGGAGGAGGGAGCCAGGTGAAGTGGAAGAGGCAGCTCCAGTTCTGTCCATTTGGCTGACATGGGGAAAGGCATAGGCAGAAATGAGCAGCACTGATGCTAGAAACCAAGTATTGAGCAAGGGGCAGCTGTAGTGTGGCAGATACAGATCTGCCTATGAGTAATACATGTGGTGAGAGGGTGAGCACACTCCCCCCTTTCTCACATGGTCCCCTTCTGAGGTGTCCAGGACACTGGAATGAATAGGCAGCAAACAAAGGGTGAAGGTACTAAGCCTAAGTTCCCTGACCCAGAACAAGACACACAAAGCTATGGGAACACTGAAGCTGTACAGCACGTAGTCATGATGCGTTAGAGTCCTATCCCTGCACATGGCACGACTCCAGCAGCATTCCTCTGGCCAGGCTCAGGGGCTGCCAACAGAGACAGACCATCTGCAGGACAGCGTCAGCCTCTGCACACCACAAGTCTCTGTTCCTTCTGCAGGCAGAGCAGCCTGCAGCAGGGAAAGGCTGCCCAGCAGCAAGCAGGCTTGAGTGAGGGCATACCATGCTGTAGCAATCTAAAAATGAGGTGTTGGCTTATAGCACAATGCTAAGAGCCAGTTGGAAAGCCTGCACCGAAAGGAAGAAGCATCCTGCTCAGCCTGAGCCCAGCAGTCCTCATCTCCACTGTGCCACTCCGGTGCACCATCTGGCATCACCTGGTGCATGTCTACATGCTGTGCCAGGCGTGAGGTAATTGATTGGCAGCTGATCATGAGCTTGGAGTAATGTTCAGTGTAAGCAATAACCTCCCTGAGGTGTTCTAAAGTCTCCTGATGAACTGGCCTGTTGCGGAGGGGAGGTGGGGTCCTGCATGACTGGGGGGATCTCACACACACGCTCCCCAGCTGCTCCGAAGAGATGGTGGCACCCCTTGTGAGGGCTGAGCCGAGAGAGACCTACACAGGGCAGGGATGCAGGATACAGAGGTAAAAACAGCCTGGTTGGGGTTGGAGGAAAGATGTGCTGCACACCAGCAGCACATATTAGAGAGGATAAACCTCTGACCTGGGAATGGTTTACTAGTGAGGACAAGCAGATACACCAGAACCTTCTACAACATTCCACGATGCTGCAAACAGTGTCAGGCTAGCACCAGTGCCATAAGCTCCCTGCACTACTGCAAACCCACTTAAGCTTATGTGTCAAGAAAGCAGGTACAGCAGATAAGAAGCAAGGAGGACTCCCTTTTCTATCACAAGCCAGCCTCTGAGGTGGCACCTTGGCCTGGCACTGAATCTGCACCACAAAAAATAGGGGTGAAAGCTGGATCACAGTAGCACCCAAGTGCTGCGCAAGCCCCTGGGCTATCAGCAAGTGTGCTCTAAATGCTAATTTAGCAGAGTCCCTGATGCACCAGTAATAACTAACAAGGGCCTCAGCTCAAGGGCCTCAACGGGTGCCAAAGTAACAGGGCAAGGTGAACTTTGGTCAGAGCACCCATGGAAGCAATTCAGCAGTAACACTTGGCCATTGATCATGACAAGGAGACAACTAAACACTCAAACTCAGCCACGCCCCATAAGGTGTATCCATTGCTTCCGCTAGCTTGCAGAAATGACTTTAGCAGCACAAGCTTCCTAGGAAACCCTGGCCACTGCAGAGCTAAAGGTGGGATACAGAGACAAAGGGAGAGCTGCAGGAGTATTTTAATTGAGCAGGTAGAAGAAGAAAGCAGAATTCAGTGGCTGACACCTGTTACAAAGCGGGAAGTTAATTCTGGGCCCACAATTAACCCAAGACATCGGAATGGAGATGAGTCAGCACAGACCAACACAAATAGCTGAAGGAATCACTTTCCCACAAGAGAGCTTCTAAGGATGTCCGAAAGGGAGGGCAACAGTATGTAGTGCTTGCACCCAGCTTTACTGGGGGTGGCGAAGCACTGAACCCCCCACTCCACTGACAGAGGAACAAAACAAGAGGCTTGGAAAAAAAGAAAGGTGGAAGCAAACATCTCCTCCACTGTACGTAAGACCCTTCAGCTGTGGAGCTGCACACCAAGGCAGCAAAGCCTCCACAAGCTCTGCTCCTGCCTCAAGCTCAGCCTGACCTCTGAGCACCACAGGGCTCAGCTGTACAAGCAGCACAGGGGCAGGCATGGCAGAGATGGGCACTTGGGGCTTGGAGCAGTATGCTGAGCCACGCATGGTTGTCTCTGGCCAACAGAGAGCCTGAGCAAGGCTCTGGCTTCCAGGCAGAGTAAGAAGAGGTGGCAGCTTGCAATGAAGTGAGTCCTGCCTGGACTGATACGATCAGAGGTCAGGCAGGCTCCCTTCATGCATGCACAGCCAAGGTGAAAAAGCAGGAGGACATGACAGTGGTGAGATACAAGTTATAACGTAAAACCAGATCTACCCTGGAGGTATGCAGATGGAGTGGAGGACAGGCACAGCTCACCATGTTCATTCCTTACTTATACATGAGAACCGAGTGCATTTCCATGACCCCTGGAGAAAAGGGATGGGGCAGAGCTTCTCGGGCCAGCCCCTGAACCCGTCAGAGAGCCTCCTGGCTTGAGGTGAGAAACTCTTCCGCTCTCTTGTGGGCCTCCAGGGCTTTTATAGTGTAGACGTCCTGCGGAAGCTCAGATTTCCGGCGCAGCAAAACTTTGTCCTTCTTAATGTCTTTCAGCATCTACAGACAAACCGAAGGAGTCAGGGATCAGTATCAAACCCCTTCACCTCTTCAGCCTCTGACTCCAACCACTCTAGAATATGCTGGGTGACACTGCAGCATGCTGCAGAACAGTCTAAGAGCCAAACACAGACTAAAAGGACAGAAAAAAGTCCCACTCGCACTTTTTCCAGAGTGGGAAGGTTAGAGGGAAGATTAGATAAACTCTACTCTTCAGACTACAGGCTGATCTTTTAATGATCAGGGATGAGAGTAGAGTCATTACCCTCAGAACACTTGGAAAGAGCCAGTTCTGGCTGTTGGACCCTGGACTGAGAGCAATTGTGGAAGGACTCTAGTCACCTACGCACCTGCACAGCCTCTGTCTCCACTGTTTTCTTCAGTAGCTGTATATCCTCTGCAGTCGGGGTCTCTGTTTCCATACAGCACACAGAAGGCAAGGGTAGAGGTGCATAATACATGGGGTACTGCAGACAACACAGATAACTGGAGAGTCAGCACTCCATACAACACCAAGCCTTCTCCCCCAGCATCCTAACATGACATGGCACACTTCTAGCTGCCCTCTCCGGCCCCCACAAAGGTAGTAGTAGGTACACAGACAGGAAAGCAGCATCCTCTCCTACCCATTCCTACCAATGCTGTCTGAGTCACAGCACACTGTGTGCAAAGCGGCAGCTGAGAGCACGGCCCATAAACATGTATGTGCATTACTTAGAGGTCAGTGCTACAGAAGGCCAGGCTGATAAAACACTGTCAACATTCCCAAGACACTGGGTTTTGGGAGGGACAGACCACTGCTGCGGCAGTGTGCACAGGACTGGGATCAGGTGCTAAAGCCTGCTCTCATGGTCTGAGAAAGCAGGTTAAGACCTCCAGCACATTCTTGTCTCATTCATCCTAGGTTCTGTTGTCACAGAGTCACAGATTATGCTGAGTTGGAAGGGATCCACAAGGATCATTGAGTCCAACTCCTGGCCCTGACAGGACCATCCCCAAGAGTCACATCATGTGCCTGAGAGCATCGTCCAAATGCTTCTTGAACTCTGGCAGGCTTGGTGCTGTGACCACTTCCCCGGGGAGCCTGTTCCACACCCAACCACCCTCTGGGTGAAACACCTTTTCCTAATATCTAACCTAAACCTTCCCTGACACAGCTTCAGGCCATTCCTTCAGGTTCTGTCACTGGTCACCACAGAGAAGAGATCAGTGTCTACCCCTCTTCTTCCCCTCATGAGGAAGTTTTAACTGCAATGAGGTCTCCCCTCAGTCCCCTCTTCTCCAGGTTGAACAGACCAAGTGACCTCAGCTGCTCCTCGTACAGCTTCCACTCAAGGCCCTTCACCATCTTCATTGCCCTCCTTCAGACACTCTAATAGCTTAATATCTTTCTTATATTGCAGTGACCAAAACTGCACACAATATTCAAGGTGAGGCCGCCCCAGTGCAGAGCAGAGCAGGACAATCACCTCACTCGACCGGCTGGCAATGTCTGATGCCCCCAGGACATGGTTGGCCCTCCTGGCTGCCAGGGCACTGCTGACTCATATTCAACTTGCTGTCAAGCAGGACCCCCAGGTCCCTTTCCATGGCACCGCTTTCCAGCATCTCATTCCCCAGTCTGTACATACATCCCGGGTTGCCCCATCCCAGGTGCAGAATCCGGCACTTTCCCTTAAACTTTTTATGGTTGGTGATTGCCCAGTTGTCACCCACCTGAGGGTTCAGCCGGGCCAGCTCCTCTATTTTCTGCCACATTTCTTCTCGTTCCTTCATCCTGAACCTTCCCCTGCAGAGAGAGAGAGAGAGACAGAGATCAGGTGTGAACTCCTGGGGAAAGTGCAGCTTTCACTCACTGGATGACAAAAGCAAGAGACAGCAGAAAAATGCAGGCAAGGGGAAGAGCTGCCCTGTCCTTCAGAGACCCCTAATTCTACCTACAGGTGACATGAGGCAAGAAGAGGGGACAAACTGCAACTAGCAGAAGGTAGGCAGGCACACTCCTCACTCACCTCAGAGCACATGGTGGCAACAGTGGGCTGCACAGGTACTTTTTCCCTGGCTTTGTGCTGCAGGAGTGGACCAGAGTGTCTGGTTTCTGGGGTAAAGCAATGACACTAGTCTGGATTTCAAAGACACATTTTCCTGGTGCCCCACAGATGCAGAGGGACAAAATGACATTTACAATAGAGCTGGAGTTCCACTGCCCACTGTTACCTCTGTCTCTAGCCATAACACACCAGAGAGCTGCCCAAACCCCCCAGGCA